ATGGGTGTTTCAGCAAGATGGAGCACCGGCACATCGAGCAAACAAAGTACAACAGTGGTTAAGAGAAAATGTGCCTGATTTTATTGACAAAGATGAGTAGCCGCCATCGTCTCCAGACTTGAATCCATTGGATTATTTTGTGTGGGGCTACATGCAATCGAAGCTAAATGATCTGAAGATTAAGAAAATCACAAAATTGGATGCATTCAAAAAGAAAATCGTCAAGATTTGGAACGATATTCCCATCTAAATGGTGCGCGCCGCGTGTAAATCGTTTTTACGACGTTTGCGTTTGGTGGTCCGTGCAAATGGAGGAAGAATCAAAACCAAAACATGAATTCAAAATTTTGGGCCCTATTCTAAATCTCAATAAAGTTTTTGTTCAATTTTTGTAAAAAAACAATACGTTTTTTAAGCATATATAAAAATATCAGTTTCACTGGCACACCCTGTATATCAAAAATACACAAATCCCCAAAATGGAAGTGTATGTTAATTTCCTTCAACCATTTTTTGTCGGGCTTTTAAGCTTTCATAGAAATCAACAAATAAATGAAATAAAGGACCAATAAAAAAACTAAAATAGTAAATAGTACTTAACATGAAGTGTGGATGTTTGGCTGCGTGGACTTTTGTATCATCGTTTATAGTCAATGTATCGGATCTGTCAAACAATAAAATCGTGCAAAAATTCTAACAGTACAAATCAAATTATATATTATATTAGATATATTAGCTGCTCCCAATTTCGTTTTATTTAAAATATTCAACAATTCATAAATTTCAAAATGGATTTTGTCATCATTAATTAATTTTAGATTGAATCATTCCTTTTTCCAAGCATAAGTCGATAACGATCGAACTTGTCCATGTCCTCTGCCAAAAGTAATGCTTCCACACATGAAGAAAAGTAGTCTGTTCCAAAGCAGTCCTTCCTGGAAAACGAGAATTATTCTTATTAGTTCTCTCATTTTTTCCGAAATCGTTTTTTTTTGTTCAAAATTCCAGTCACAATAAATGTCAAATTTTAATGGTCAAAATTCAAACAAAAATCATAACCACTATAAATTGTGTATTAAATTATAAATGCAAAATAAAAACATACCCTTATAGAGCAATAAATAAATAAATATCGTAAAATTGATGATGTAAAATCAAAATGCGGAAACATGAATGAAGCAGAAGTATTCGCATATGCTGCTAAGAAGAGAATGAATTCTTCCACCATCGGTTGCCATCCATTTAAATGCAATGTTGATTCTATAGTTGATGCTTTTGCTCTCGATCTTCGTGAAACAGATATAGATTCACACTCGCATCTTTTTATGTAATTTAACCAACTTTTTCTAGATATCTCATTTTTATGGTTTATCGTTGGCCTTGTTGAATTATCATTCTCCGTATTTTCAATTAAAGTTTGGTTGTAGACAAATAAATACAGTTTGTGATTGATTTTGAACGATTTCTTTAAATTAAATTTATAATATAAATAGCAATCATTCTTAATGTTTGTTTAGGGAAAAATCACTTGCTTTTTCTATTCTTCGCAATAACTTATTTATCATTGCAAACATATTTCAAAATTCATCATGGAAAGTCATCATAATGCTACTGTTCTTTTTTTCATTTCTTAGTGAAGACCAAGTGCTGTTCAGAAGATTGTTAGCTTTTGAACATTTTATACTTTAAGTGTTGATGCATGTAATGTATTTATAATTAATGATTTAATATTGGAGGTTGTGCTCCATTCACTTGTTTTATATAGTTCTTAATCTTTTCTATTTCATCTGTTAATTGAAGCGCATCCAGGCATCCTTTAAAGTAATCTGTGGTAAAGCACCTTTTCCTATTATATTTTATATTAAATGTAATAAAAAATGAGTTAAATACAATGTGTCATTAGTTACATCTTATGCGTACCGACTTAAGAATTAATTTTTCATTATTTAATTTCTTCATTAATTTTTCACGTTGCATTCTTGTTAGAAAGATACACAAAAGTATGTAGGGTAGCGTGTTTCTCATATCTCTAAATGAGAAAATAGTACTTTTGAATTCAAAGAACAAATAATTCTATATTATTTAATGGCATTCATATAACGAATCTATTGATAGTCGAAGCGAAAAAGAAATATGAAACGCATGGAAATGTAACATATCTGAAAAAGTAGTCGATTACAGTTTGAATTTTTTTTTCTTTGTCGCTTACACATATATAGACTCTATTCGATTGCTTTGATAACTTATTGATGCGATTCCTTTGAATTCGATAAATAAACAAAAACAAAGTATTTATGTTAAACGCATTTTCAGAGTCGAACAACACAACTCTGTGTCAGCAATTTTTGGCCAGTGAAGTCTGTATATGATTTGAATCAATATTAACACACAAGCAGTCCATACAACACATACAGATTGGAGTATATCCATCGCGACAGGCTAATAATCATGCCGTTTCGTTTGGTCGTTAGTGTTTACACATACACAAACTGTGAGTCCGTTCAATAGTTCAGCACATACAACTTCCTTATTCAAACGGTTTATAAACAAAAAATTTGTGTGTTTACGTAAAGGAATATTTCTTACATTTGAACGCAGTGTGAGTTGTGTGATCTAAATGATCTGTCACATTTTGAACGTGCTGAAACTTGTAAGAATCATTGTTATTTTTTATTTGAGTTAGCATTCCTTGCATAATTTCTATGGATTCGATTGTTAAAGTGCTAAAACATATAATTTGAATGTGTCGGCGTATTTTGTATTTGTTTTATGCTTTCGAACGAGTTAATTTCACTCTGTTGAAGGTTCTTTATGAATACAGCAGATTCAACATTCGGATCATTGTCAATCGATAACTTGCAAGAGAGATATTTTCAGTGAAACTTGTGTTCGATTTTATTTTGCTTTGATATCAACAAAACGTTCTCAAGCTAAAACTGCAAATATTTCGATACAACTTTAGACTGTATTAGTGTGATGTGCATTCGAGAGAGTTCTTTTTCGATTTTGAATGTCACCATCAATCTGGTAAGATCAAGTGTTAATTCTATCTCCGTTTTATGTGCTTTTCATTGATTCAATTCATTTACAAATTACACAGTGCAAAATACATATTTGTGATTTTATCAGTGTTTTAAATTGTGTGTGTTTTTTTATATTTCGATGCAGTTCAAAATGGCGAAACAGCGGCTTCACAGACGAAAAAGAAACGATATAAATATCAAACGAAAAAGCAACAAGAGGAGGGAGCCGAGGACGAAAACTTCAATGACAATGGCTTATTAGCGATAAATAAGCGCATCACAACAATTGTTCTGCCGGAGTACCATGATATTGTCATACCATAGATCGAAAAGAAAAGTATCATGTTAACAAAAATCACCGTTTTGGCATCGTTGCTGTTCCTTGACAAAGTAAAGTCCGCGCAAAACAATCGCCATTGGGACTTTTTCACGAATAGAATGTATGTTAAACAAAAAGGAAAATAGGTTGAAAAAAATCGTGCCGAAGATGTGATTGAGCGCTGTTTTATGCAGTTTTGCATAAGAATAAAGAAAACGAGGACATGGAACCACATTTTCGTCGTTTTGTTGAGCAAGGATTGAGCCGAGATAATAATTTGCCTGGCCAAACACAATTATTTCGGCAACATCATGAAATCGTTATACCAAAGTTATACACGTCAATTGAAAACGAATCAAACGACACATGCAAAGAAGCGGCTGCGAAATTACTTGCAAATGAGAGTTTGATTGACAATGCAATTGATTGGGTGATTCGACGCTATGATGTCATTCGAGACACACATCAGAATGCACCTCTAAAACGATACAAAAGCAAGTTGCTGCTTGACATGGTTCGTGTAATTCTGGAAGAGGTTCAAAGCAGTTCTCAAAAGGCAAATACTGGTTCAAAGCAACTGCAATGTGGCTTGTCATGCAGAGCGAAATCGATGAGTTTCACAATTGGGCGCAAAACAACAACGTCAAAACACCAAAGATCAAAAATCTGTCTGTCGTTCCATTGCCAGATTATCAGCGAAAAGGCAATGTTCATGTGCAGTGATGTTTTCAACAGAATGTTGGCAAAAGAGAAGCTACTTCCAAAAGTCGAAGGTAAACAAGCTACCGCAAAGTTCATTTACGAGAACAAAGAACACTTCTGGAACCAAATATTTGATTTTGACAAAATCAATCAAATTTTGAATTAAAACAAAGCATTATTATATATTATACAAGCAAACTATTGTCAGCAACGGTGAATCAGTATCGGTATTGTATAAATTGTCAAAACAACATCTTCAACGGTTGATGGTGATAATTCAATTCAAGCACCAAAAGCAACCGTTTCAAAGTTTGTAAAAATTGTGCACCTGTGCCAAATTCAATCATGGCTAACTTTTTACCATCAAAAATCGTAAAAGACCATTTTTACCATAAAATATTGAAGAGAGTTTGGCACGAGATGAAATGACTGAGCATGATTTCGACATTATAGTTGATGTAAGGTGGCCGTGTATCCAAAAAAAATGGCAAGTAAACGCAGTGAGTGGTGTATTGGAATATGCTGACGTCAATGTTGATGATGAAAATGCAGCGCAAATCGATGGAGAGGTCGCTTAACAACCAATGATCGTGATATCATGGCCGCCAAATGCATTCTCATCAAAGGTATGTATATAAAAAATGGATATTTGCATATTTTAGATGTGTTATGTCTGTGTTAAATGACATTTGTATTTTTTTATAGGACGTTGTGACCTATTTGGACTGGATATCCCGGTAACATTGCAGAGACCACGTCGACAACAAGCAGTTCAAAATAATCAACAGCCTCAAGCATAACCAATCACCATTTTAACTCGAAAATTAATTAAAAATTAATATTGTAATTTTGTTACACTAACTGAGACTAACTACAACAGTCAGTTGTAGTTGTTGACACAACATCTCAGCATTTCGAGGAAGTACTACTAAGGCTCTGTTTTTTTGTGAGTATTTTTCATTATTCGATTGAATTTATACATTCAGACGTGACAATTGTTTTTCGCTTCGGGAAGTGCTAACATCAAACGCTTCGATGTATAAATACTATTAACTAATATAGAATTTTGCCTACATTGAATTAATAAATACCAATTTTTTATTTACAGATATGAGAAACACCCTATTGTAGGGGAGAATCACTTACTTAGAATCACTTACTCAGAAAAACTTATTTTCTCTTTATACAGCAAATTCTTATGATTTCGTACAAACATCGTTGCAAATGAGTTCGTGTTTAGTCTCGATGATATTGGCTTCAAACTTTTATTATCATAATATCATAACAATAATGTTTCAGAAAACAAAGATATCATTTAAATAAATCAAGGGGGTAGACATGATTCAAATGATTCGTTGTAATTCATTTGTGATTTGAATGATTTGAATCTATTTGACAAGTGAGTTCACAATACTAAAACAAAGCATAAAATTCTATATCAATATTTGTTTTTTTTAAGCAAGCAAAAACCTTTTTTTAATTAAAAAAATCAAGTATATTTCGTTTATAGTTAAAAGACATTTCGGAAATATTAACTCTCTTTGTATTTTTATTCTTTAAATTGATATTTTTTTTGATATAACATGCATGCAAACATCGATAGTCAACTTCACTGTAAAGTGTCACACGAACTGTCAAGCGGTGATTTGAAATGATTCGAAAAAATTCAAAATGATTTGAAATATTCATAATTCACTCGCAATAATTTAAGGAGATTTATTTTTTTCGTATAGATTTGTTCATTTGGATTGCGTGTCTACCCCCTAGAAATAAATGTATGTAATGAATAAATGTCTGGCGAATTAATGTGTAGAAAACAATTCGTCTAACAAAAAATGGGGAATCTAGGGGGTAGACAGTGTCTAAACACGTGGAATAGGATCAGACTTTTAGTGTAAAAATTTGAGAAATTAAAGTGGAATAGACAATTCAGTAGCTGGATTCACATGGATTCACTAATCCCATGTATGGAATAGCGAAAATGGGTTACAAATTTAACCCTCAAACGCACATGTGGAGTCTCTTAGGCCATAAGAGTTAATTTTTTGAAAAAAAAAATCACAAAAATATTGAAAAAAAATTGGAAAATTTCGCTGAGCGTTTCCTTTTTTAATATCATATCTATGAGATACAATCAAAAATTTCCATGTTTGGTGCATAGATGAAGTTTTGGGAAGTCTTGTACAAAATACTAACGTCTTTTGGACCCCAAAGTATTTTGTATGGGAAATGATGTATTCTGTATAGGTCAATATGAAACTCATGGAGATTTGTTGACTCAACAATTTACATTTCATCAAACAACAACACAGTAAATTGTTTCGTCCGTGACGTATACTGTTCATCGCAAATCAAATGGCATATGCCATTATAATATATATTCATACATTGTTTTTTTTTTGGATAGGATAGATCCGTAAGATCTCCTCAAGAGCTTGATCTAAGCGTGCGTACGCCGTCGCATGATATATTCGTTTTTCTGTGTTGCTTCGACGCGCAAATCAAAGTATGTATCATGCGGCGGCATACGCGGAGATCTTACGGATCCATCCTATCCAAAACACAAAGTATGGGCAGATTTCATGAATTTGGTGAACGTTGCTGGTGTGGCAGGGTTTGCCTTGTTGTAAACGTCCAACAACATGTTTGTCAAGTATGGAGGAAGAGCGGAAGCAGCGCGATCTCATCGCACTCCATATAAAGCAATGTAATTGGTTTCGAACATGCAGATGTGCTGACACCTGGTGTCTCAGAGTTAAGCTGACACATGCTTCTTGCAAATGCAGAAGAAGAGGAAGGAAAAGTGTTTACATATATGGTTGAACTTATATATGCCAGAGAGCAGCACAGCTACAGTGTTCAAAGTGCGATCTCCCTTCGGGAAGCAGTCTCTACATTGATCTCACATATCGAGAGGTAGTACATGAAGCACATTGACCGGCTACGACTGTCGATTAGCGATATTAGTGAAAGACACGACGGTCTAAAAGTCGTACATATCAATAACTACCAAGCATTTTGGCTATAATTGATTTTTTTTCATGAAAAATCAACATAAAATTGTGATGCTGTATTGGAAAGTAAGGAATAAGCTATGGTATAACTATAAAATGACATATTTCTCATTGGATACCATTTTGCATAGGTTTTGTATGAAATTTCTCATGGGTCCAAAAAGACCCCACCTGTGCGCTTACGTTACTGTTTTAGCCTGTGCGGTAAAGGGTTAAAAATTAATAGAATCACTTATTGATGAAAAAATAATTTGAATTATCAATAACAAAATGTCATACTCCAGTGTCGATAAATAAATTTTCAACAAATTAAATAGCTGCAAAATGTGGCATTATATTCGAGAAAAGTTTTGCGGATTTTCAACATGTTCGGAGGGGTCTTCGGCCGTCGGCTCAGCGCTGGCAAACCAGAAACCAGTATTAGATGCCACAACAGACTCGGCTGTAAATTTTTCATTGATGGTAATCAAGAGAGGTAACTCAGAAATGATTACTTCACACAATTTAAACGATGAAAGATATTCAAGACAGCTGACTATCCATTCGCAAAATGTAAATGGATTGAAAACAAAAATACCTGAGTTTGTGGCGGAAGTTCTTGTACAACATTCACCAATTTACATGCTGCGGGAGACTCATCTGAATAGCGCCATCAATTCAACAGACTTGTTTCCGCAGATCTACGAAGTATATCGTTGTGATCGGTCACCAAACACCGAGAAAGACCAAGTTCATCGCAAGGAGAATGGAGGAGGAGTCTTGATTGCTGTTGACAACAAATTGAAGTCGATCAGCATCGGAACGGGTGACCAGTTCGGTGCGGAACAGATTTGGGTGAAATAGTTGGCCACAAAAGGAACATCTATTTGGTAGAATTATATATTCGACCAGATTCAACACTCAAGGTATACGAAAACAACATGAATGCCTTGAGAGAAATCGCATCGAAGTTGAGTATAAATGATGTTTTAGTAGTTTCCGGTGATTTCAATTTGCCCAAATTGATTTGGTTTGTTGACGAAGATGAGGCATAGCAACCCTGACATAGCAATAGCGATCAATGCAGCCAGTGAAAAAGAGAAGATAGTGCTGGATACTTGCTATGATCTTGGTCTCCTCCAGATAAACAAGTGCTACAACCGAAATGGTCGTATGCTCGACTTGATCTGGACAAATGATGTTGAGCTGTTTCAATGTTACATGAGTGAATATCATTTGTTAAATTTTGAGAAGCACCACAATGCAATCAATATTCGATATGATGAGCCTGTCATCAAAACTGTTGTAACAAAGCAAACATTTAGAGATTACATATGTGCTGACTATAAACTAATAAATGAGTCACTCCTTGATGTTGACTGGGATAAGGAATTCGATGCAAATTCATTAGAATTAAAACTAGACAATTTCTATTCAATTGTAAAGTCAACAATCGAAACTCATGTCCAGTTAAAAATAAAAATCATCAGGAAGCAACCGATGTGGTTTAATAAGCTCAATGAGCACTAGAGTGGTTCGATTTTGACATTTTTTCAATAATCAAAAATCGTACCCCTATAACCTCTGTAGGAAGGTCATAGAAACATGACCATAACATCGAATTCGAAAAAAAAAAGATTTTTGGTGAAGCGCGGCTCCAGGCGGTTTCTTAAAAAAAATCACATTTTTATGAATTTTGATGAATTTTGAGCACCTTGAAAATTCAATAAAAAATGGTCCCCCGGGGGTTTTTTGGCACGAGAAAACCGATTCTGGCCTCTAATGAGCACTCAATGATTACAGAATTGAGATGGAGAATCTGATAGACAATGATCCAAAGAAATTTTACATGTGATTTACAAAAAAGGGAAAAGTGATGATCTGCCTCATGAAATGTCTTATCTGGATATGAGGGCAGAAGACTAGTCTACGATCGCTGGTTTCTTTGCAAAGCATTTTGCTTCAGCCTACAGCTCTTTGAAGGGAAATCTACAATTGGATAGCTCGGAGTTTGAAAATATTAGCAACATTTGTGCTGAAATATCACCGATTGAAATAACTGAGGAGCTTGTTGGACAACAAATTGACATGCTTCCGGATGATCTAGTCAGTGGTCCCGATGAAATACCAAATAAATTTATCAAGCATTGTTTGGTTTCATTGCAGGGGCCAATCACAACATTATTAAGAGAATCTCTTGAAACATGCACTGTACCACAGATTTGGAGAACGTCTTTTGTCATACCGGTTTACAAAAACGGTGACAGAAACAACGTTCAAAATTACCGTGGTGTCGCTCTTCAGTGTATAGTGTCAAAAATTCTTGATTCGATCGTCACGAACCATCTCAATCAATATCTAAAGAACATAGTACACGAAAGTCAGCATGGGTTCATCAAAAATAGGTCAACGATAACGAACTTGGCAGAATTTACATCGAATACGATAATCAACATGGGAAAGGGACATCAAACAGACACCATATATTTGGACATCGCAAAGGCTTTTGATTCTGTGAATATAAAATTACTAATTCAAAAGCTAAACATCATGGGATTGAATACACAGCTGTTAAAATGGATCGAATCGTATTTATCTGGACGCAGACAAATGGTCAAGATATCAGATACCAAATCAGACCCAATAGAAGTAACTTCTGGTACTGGTCAAGGTTATCCCATTGGCGCAACTTTGTTCATCATGTTTGTAATTGATCTACCTTTCGTCGTGACCGATTCATGCATCTTTTCGTTCGCTGATGATACCAAAATTTCAAAATGTATAAAATCAGAAGATGACTGTATTCATCTTCAAAGGGATTTGGATCGTGTAGCAGATTACTATGGACGCAATTTATTAAAGTTAAATGTGAACAAAACAAAACTGATATCATATCATCGAGGATTACTGAAATATGAATATAATTACAACGTAGATGGCGTGCAAATTGAAAGAATTGAAGTATTATTGAAGGACTTGGGAGTATTGCTTGATGTGAAGATGAATTTCAAATCACACATCGAGCATGTTGTTGCTACACAGTAAGAAAATATCAGCCGACGCTATACGCAAAACCGACTGGTACGTGCGCTCATACGTTTTTACATCTAGTGACCATACGATTTTTCGACTGATTCGTTACTCTTTGTGCGTATCTTCGCACAGTCGAAAAATCGTATGGTAATAGATGTAAAAGATGTAAAAACGTATAAGCGCACGTACCAGTCGGTTTTGCGTATAGCGTCGGCTGATATTTTCTTTCTGTGTAAGGCAAAATCAAGATTGGCTTGGTTAAAATTCAACAGCAGGGATTTTGTCGACCCATGGACGTT